AAAAAAAAAGAGAAATATCATCCTTCGTGCAAATTATAAAATTATATCCTCCTGCTATAAAATTTCGCAAATAGTCCCAGTCTTACCTGGAGCACCACGTCCCTCCAACAGAGTCGGAAGACTCTCCCATCTGTCTCGAACATTACCTGTTTCTCACATATTCCCGTCAGTCTTAACGACAGGATTTCATATGAGTGTTGAGAACAGTCCTGGTGACGAAACCTTTGCCACACCGGGGGCAAACGTACGGTCGTTCGCCAGTGTGATAACGCTTGTGAACAACCAACGTGGACCTCTGCGTGAAAGCTTTGCCGCATTGGTCGCAGGAGTACTTCCTCTCGCCCGTGTGAGTGACGTTGTGAGTCCTGAGCAGCGTTTCGCAGGCGAAACACTTGCCGCACACCTCGCAGGTGTACGGTTTTTCACCGGTGTGCGACCGGTTGTGAATTTCCAGGCCTTTCGCGGTTTTTAGCTCCTTGCCGCAGAGTGCGCACAGATAGCGACGCCTCTCGTAGTTCGGCACGTCGCCGTGCGCTTTCACTTTGTGTTGCTTCAACACGGACTTGTACTTGTAAACCTTGCCACACACGTCGCATTTGTGCTCCGTCGCGGTGTCCTGCTGCGGCGCGTCCGCCTCCAGCTTCTCCTGGATCAACGTCGTCGGATCGTAGTGGTACAGACGGTTGTGCTCCTTCAGGCTGCGTTAAGTTCAGAGATTTTTTTTACGAAACTTTCCGGGCGATAATGGAAGATTAGAAGAATTTTGGGAAATTTTTTTTAAATGACTTGAGACGAGACGATTTTCATTTTTTTTTCTAAATGGAAGAACTTTGTTAATTTAAAGACACCTATGTTCGTCATCTATGCGCAGACAAAAAATATCTTTCTTTTGCCATACATTTTCCCACATTGACCCGGATCAATCTGGCAATTGTGCAAACGAACAAAGTGTATAAACGAAGATAATTTTCCATTTATACACTTGTATCTTTTTCTTTTTTTTTCTTTACGCTTCGTCAGTGTCAGACGATTCTCTCTTATCAGAATGAAATCACAGAACGGTATTGTCATACCTGTACACGTCGTCGAACGTAGTACCGCAAGCGTTGCACTGATGAAACTGCATAAAGTTGTGCATAGTCGTGTGAGTCATCAAGGAATCCTTGTCCACGAAGTTCTCGCTGCAGATCTCGCAGGTGAACTTCACTTCTCGATGGTGTCGTTTCGTGTGTCTCTCCACGTCGGTGGCGTTCACACCCATGAAACTGCATTGACCGCAGGGCGTCGTTTTCGGAGTGTGCGACTTTTTTACGTGGGCGTTCAGCATGAACTGCTGCGGATACGTTTTCCCGCACGTGACACACTTGAAAGGTCTGTGGATACCGTGAACGATCCTGAGATGTGCCACTAATCTGGTCACAAAGTGAAACTTCTCTTGACATAGGTCGCAGACCTTCTCGTTCCCCTCGAATCTGCAAAGATTAATTTAGAGATTTTGTTTTCCAGCGATTACTGACAATCTCTCAATCTTTATTTATTGATAGTTGTGAAGGAATCGATAAGTATTTCAGAGTCTACGGTCTAATTAACGACACAACATTTTGAATCCTGATCGTACGAAACTCACTTTTGTCCAGGATCGAGAAGAATGTCCTCGTGCTTGATTCTGAAATCTTCGCAGCTGGTAAGCTCGTCGCGAACGTTGCTCCAGTGGCTGGAATGAGGGAACCTTCATTGACAAAAAGCTACACACATTCACACAAAGTATCGTGTGTATTCTCAACAATCAAAATCAACCTCTTAACTCATTCACCGAAACCAAGCCAAGTTATCCGATGCTCTTGCAAACGCTGTGTTAAATCCGCAGTCCCTATTCTCGCACAGTATTTCAATAAAACACAAGATCACCCATTCGCATCAGTCATCATCATCGTTTTATTGAAACAAGCGAAAAAATTCATTCGTATATTAACAATATCACGGTCCCTTTACCAAAATCATCTCATCTCACTCGCAATCGCGAGTCTCGAGCTGCGCGGTTCTCTCGTGGATCTTTCGATGCTTCTTGAGGAAACTGCCGGAAACGAATCCCCTGCCGCAATCCACGCACTGATACGGCCTCTCGCCGGAATGGTACCTAAGATGCAGTGTCAAAGACGTTCTCTGTGTGAATCTTCGTCCGCATTGCGAACAACCGTACGGTTTCTCCCCGGTGTGCACTCGCCGATGAACATTGAGGTTCTCCCTGCTGGCGAACTGTTTGTCGCATAAATCGCACTTGACGATCTTCTCGTCCGCGTGGCCCCGTCTGTGCACCATCAGCCGCCTCTTCGACGACAACACTGCCCCGCACAGATCGCACAAGTGTCTCGTCGTCCTTTCGTTCGACAGTGCGTGTCGTTGTTTCAAGTGCCTCTCGAGGAACGATTTCCGCGCGAAACCTTCCAGGCAAATCGTGCACATGTGCCTGTGTCGTCTCGCGTCGTTTTTCACCTCCAGCGGCAGAACGCCAGCGTGCTGCGTCCTCAGGTGATTGGTCAGGTTCTTCTTGTAAGGGTAGGACTTGTTGCAGTGATCGCATCGATACAGCTGCTTTCTCGTGTGCGTGTTCACGTGCTCCAGGTATTCCGTCCGAAGGACGAAGCCCTTGCCGCAGCGCTCGCATCTGAACGAATAGTCCTTGGTGTGTCGCCGACGGTGGCTCTCGAGATTCGACTTTTGGTTCGATTTGTAGTCGCACAAGTCGCAAGCGAATCTCTTCGAGCCGGTGTGAATCAGTTTGTGCCGCGCTATGTTCATGGGACTACGGAACGTCTTGCCGCATTCGTCGCAGCTGAACGCTCTGTCGATGCCGTGCAGATTCTTCAGGTGTTCCACCAGCTTCCTCGTGTGGCAGAAACAGGCGCCGCACTTCACGCACTCGTGAATCGCTCGGGAGGTCATTCTTCGCGACCTGAAACAGAAGCACCCATGAAGCACGAGTGACAATTTGAACGATCATTTCAGCGTTACAACGATCAGTTTCAGTTTCACCGACGATCTTTTGTTGTTCTCGCTTTAAGTTCAAATCATATACCTACCGATATACTCGACGATGTATGAGAATTTCGCATGAATTTTTTAGTAGGGGAGGTAAAATTACCGGTGGCAACTGTTGGATTTTTCTGGAAGATCATTCATCAAATTATTTTTAGTTACAAGCAATAATAATATTGTTTTAACGCACAGTTGTAATTGATCCTTTCAATTACGTAGGTACAATATTTTTAACTTTTTACTGAACGTTTATTGAGAAACGTTTACGTGTCATTATTCTCACATTACGTATACAAATTAATTTTTTTCTACGAACCTTAATAAATGCAAATTACTCGTTACGACGTTTCTTTCCTCGAGATACGTTAGAGATTGAAATTCCATGAAAATCAACAGTCTGATGATCGTTTTCGTCTGAAGCAAAACGTTTGAGTGCTCGAGAATGAAAAGCAATTCGACTTCCACCAGGTGAGGATTGAAAAAAAAAAAAAAAAAAAAAAAAAAAAAATAGAGAATTCCATTTCTTATTATTGTTTAATCGTCATAGAAATAACAAAAGGGCGTACAAATGTAATAAAAATCAAGTTACACGAATCAGCCGTTCACTCTGTCGCTAGACCGCGGACATTTAACCATTTCTTCGCGAAATTCAAGCGTGTAAAACAGAGTGCACGTAACATACACAGAAACATATGACGTATATATCTAAACTAGAACAATATCTAGTTACAATATTTAGTAAACGAAACAAAGTATAAAATACAAAATTATACAAACATCCGCAGTCTAATACCACCTGACAGTCACGCAATAAAAATCGAAAATTACACCAACAATGAGACGTAACGTAAACAACACTATGTACATTCGTAAGCACCAAACGACAGAAATCACCGACAGAAACCACGAGTTTTTTCCCATCATCAAGTCACTTACTCGTTTCGCTCAATTCTCCTTCTTGTCGACGGCGGGATCGTTCAATCCCTGAGTGAAGTCCGCGATGATCTTCCTGATGGAGATGACAGGAAGCGGCGGTAGAGGGCCGGGATGCCGCTTCCTGTGACAGATCAGTCCCGGCTTCTGCGCGAACTTCTGTCCGCAGATATCACAGGTGTACGGCCTCTGACCGGTGTGTATCAGGATGTGTTGCTCCTGAGCGGTCCTCCTCGGGAACTTCTTGCCACAAACCGGGCAGGAGAACGGCCTGATGCCCTCGTGGATTCTCAAATGGAGGTCCAGATCTCTCTTCTGGCCGAAGGTCTTGCCGCAAGTCGGGCAAACGACCTTCTCCTTCCTCTTGTGCCAGAGCAGGTGCTGCTCGAGGTTGTTCTGCGTCGTCATGCAACGTTTGCAGAGGCTGCACTCGTACGCGGGCTTGTAGTGCCTGTACTTCATGTGCGCCTTCAACGAGGGCACGCTCTTGCACGCGTGGCCGCAAACGGTGCAGATGATCGGCGGCGCGTTGCTGTGCATCTGCTTCGCGTGCTGCACCATGTCGTTCTTGATCTTGAACTGCTTGCCGCAGACAGCGCACGAGTAGTCGAAGCTGCTCGTGTGCTTCCGGATGAAATGGTCCTTCAACGTCCACCTGTTGTTGCTCTTGTACTCGCAGATGGTGCACGGGTACAACACCGGGCCATGGACCTGCTCCGAATGCTCCTTCAAGTCTTTTCGCAGCCTGAACGTTTGGCTGCAGCTTTTGCACCGGTGTCTGTGCTGCTTCATGTGCGACGCCAGATACGACTTCCTCTCGAACTGTTTCCCACAAAAGTCACACTCCAACGGCAGTTCCGTCTGTTTCTTCGTCTTTCTCCGGTGAATCTTCTCGTCTCTTCTCTGACACTTCGAGACGGATTCGACGGACTTTCTCGTTTTCACACATCGCGACATCGTCACAGCGCGGATCTTCAGGTTCGTTCTTCTGACTCGGTCCCTCTGTCGTCTTCGGTCCGTCTTCGCCAGGGTGTACGAGTCCTCTATTTTGATGGTGCACGGTTCCTCGAGAGGATTCGCCTCGCTGCCGTTCAGTGGATCCAACGCTGGCGAACTAAAACAGATTGAAGTGAGGCTTCGGTTAGGTCTTGGTATCTGGACAGCGGTATTGACAATGCTTCGGTATGGAGAGCTTACTTACTTGAAATATCTTTTTTTCTAGCAGACAAACTTTTTGTTTTTTGCGTGCGAATAGAGATGTCTGCGTAAAGCAACAAGCAATGTTTCAAGATACCTGTCTAATTTAATGTCTATTTCAATCTTTCGACGACATTCTCGAATTTTCCTCTCGTTGAAAATTCAAAATTGCTCGGTTTTCTGTCTGTCGTTCGAAGATAATAAATACTCGTCACAATGGAAATTTCTTCATACTTACTTTCCTTTTTTTTTTTTTTATAATTTTCTCAATGACGAGGTATCTGTCTGTGCTCTCATTAAATTTACACCATGATACGTACAATTTACAAGTTTTATTAAAAAGTTTCGAATACAGTTAAAAAATACAAGTAACATCGTCTAGAGGACGTTTTCAAAAGTTTATGCTTCGATAACGAAACACGATATAGAAACAACTGTGTCGTTAGAAATCTTAAAACGTATAAAAATTCAAGCATTCGTTCGCGTAGGAACGCTCGTTCAATATTGATAATTGTGAATATAAAAATTTACAAGTGTGCTATTTTGTAGTGAAAAATTTCTGTAAAAACTACAATTAACACCTAAAGTCAGGCATACAAGTCTCTGTACACAAGTACAACGAGATATTATTCGATAACATTCAACAATCAAGGAGGCGAAGTGTATAAAAAGGCTGAAGCACGCTGTTCCAATATCCAAATTGTATCCTTTGAAACAACGAACAAATTCGACGTATTCTTCAATAATTCATTCAGCATCTGATTGATTCGTCAAGGGCCAACTCCAGGTTCTAGATCCACAATTTCATGAGATTTTTCAAAATATCGAGACATTTGTAGCGACGAACTAATACTTACACACTAATTCAAATAAGAAAAGAAGAACAATCACTTTACGTTTTTGATTTACCATTATTTGCCTTTGATGACAATTCGTTTACAATCGTAATACATTGTTTGGCCCTCGACGATTCAACGTACCCATTCACAGCCTTCCTTTGCATCATGCGCAAGCGTCCCTATAAAATTTCATTCAATTTTAATAATCGTGTTCCTCATAGCGTATTCCTTGGTGAACTCCGTGACGATGCTCTTGATGGAAACGACAGGCAACGGCGGCAGTGGTCCTGGATGACGCTTCCTGTGGCAAATCAGGCCGGGCTTCTGCGCGAAAGCCTGGCCGCAAATGTCGCAAACGTACGGCCTCTTGCCCGTGTGTATGAGGACGTGCTGCTCTTGAGCGGTCTGCCTTCTGAACGACTTGCCGCAAACGGGACAGGGGAATGGCTTCACTCCTGTGTGCACTCGCATGTGAGAGTCCAAGTCTCGGCCTCGGAACCTCTTGCCGCAGGTAGGGCACAGCACCTTCTCTCTGGTCTCGTGCCAGGTGAGATGTTGCTCGAGATTCTCCCGAGTGGTCATCCCTCTCCTGCAGATGCTGCACACGAACTCCGGCTTGTAGTGCCTGTACTTCATGTGAGCCTTCAGCGCGTGAAGATTCTTGCTGAAGTGGCCGCAAACGTCGCACACTATCGGCGGCGCGTCGCTGTGATTCTGCTTCACGTGATGGTTCAGCGCTTTCTTGATCTTGAACTGTTTGCCGCAGGTGTCGCAGGCGAAGTTGTAGCTGGTCGTGTGCAGGCGAATGTAGTGGTTCTTCAGGGTGCCTTTGTTGTTGCTCTTGTACTCGCAAACGCTGCAGTCGTACAGCTGACGCCGATGGATCTTCTCGATGTGCGAGGCCAGGTATCGACGAAGCCTGAAGCTTTTCGGACAGTCGGGACACTTGTGCCTGTGCTTCTTCAAATGCTCGGCCAAGTTGCTCTTCTTTAGGAACTTTCGTCGACAGTGGTCGCACTCCAGCTGACCGGCTACGCTCTTCTTCTTCGACATCTGTCGGCCGGGATGATTGTTTCGGAAGGATTCCACTTCTGCCTCCTCTTTCACGATCGGCACGATCTGGAAGTTCTCTTTGCCGATCCAGTTCTCGTACTCCTCCGACAGATCCAACTGCAATTCTTCGACCTTCAACTCGCTGAGAGGGTCCAAGAGTCTAAAACAGAAAATCCAGCGGATCGTGTTATCGTTGGCTTGGGCAGAGAAACGGGAGATTTACTTAACAGAAGTGAAGTTAAATCCGAAGTATTGCCAAAAGCAATTATTGTTAGAAATTCTACGAGACTCGAGAAAAATGCACATTCGCAAGAAGATGCATATCTTTCGGAAAATATGTATATATTGCATTCACTGCAAAAATGATCTTGGATCGCGTGGCACGTGGCGGTCACTCGAACCTAAAATTTTCTTTTCGTGAAGATTCTTCGAAAAACCAAAATCTTGAGAGATAATTCCAGCGTGTCTGTCATACCTTCTCGCTCTTCTAAACGATCCGTAACGAGCCGCAGCCTGCAAACGTACAAAAACAATTATTTCGGAGGCGATCGCTTAATACATCAAATATACTTATCTTGCGTGTCGTCTCTACTCTCCTCTCTTTTCTCCTCGGAAATTTTACGCCTGAAACGCGTAAAATGTCGCAAACTGTTACGTACGAAAGCAACGACTTCCTTTCATCCAAACTCGACGAAGGTACTCGTTTCATCATTTCATCTTCCTTCCCTTCGTCTCGTTTCTTCGATCGACGTTGTTGCGAGGATAGTTGTTGAACAGATCAGGCTCGGTAAAAATATTTATTTCAAATTCAAAGCTATACACAGCGTGTACCTTACTTGTTAGGATATTAGGTATTGATTTTTAGAAAAATAGCCATCGCAGGCGTGCTTTCTACCGCGGACTTTACGCTTATTGCTAGCAACGTGGTCGACAACGAGGGGTGAGGGAGAGGGGCAACGTTATTTCGTTTACATATCGAGTGAAATCGGAGAGGGGGGGGGGAGGAGCGAGAAGGGAGGAGAGGGTTACGTTATGTTACAGTTAAACTCTTAAGAGGACTAGCTCTCGCAAATAGAATAAATGTCATCGAGGCAATATCACAACGTGTATGTACGTATCAACGATCTCGTGCGAAATACAACGACCGAACGTATTATATATTCACGATAACACGAGTAAAACAACACGAGGACGACGTCTATCGAGAGGTGACATCGTCTTCGTATCAAGCGATATCAACGTATCAAGCGAAATCTATCAATGAGATGTGGAATAAATTCATCTTTTTTATTCAATCGATCGATCATATTTTCCGAGTGAAACAAAGGAAACAATGTTCATTCGGTGTTATGGATTGAAACATGCTTTCTTACGTGGTAGTTGGCTCTTCTTTAATCTTATTCGACAACGTCAGCGGCGAGAAGCAACGCCGTCTCCACGTTTAACACTGTTTGATGTTTAAAAATCATTCGATTCAAGTGTACGTTATATATATAGAATTCGTCTGCGATATTCTCTCTCTTTTCTTACAGCCAGCAAAGTAAACATTTCATTTTTTGTTGTCGCATATATGTATACACGTATGTATAGTAATATGAATCATTCATAATTTGTACCTGACCGAATGGAACGAAAAATTTGTTCAACAAACTGCAGCAAATTGAATTGAAGTACTTTTAGGTAGCAGCCTAGAAACCGATCAAGATCATTCGGTTCTAGACTCTCTTATCTACCTCGAGGTCGAAAGGAAATTGAAAAAGAAAAATCCTTTTTTTCCCCCTTTTTTTTTTTTCTTTTTCTTCGTGTAAATCTTCAATTTACAAGGCTGTTGCTATATTTATACATTCTTATATCTCTATACTTAGAGTTACATCTAAAAATAATTATCATTCGCTCTAGTGTCTTTAATCTTTCAATCTCGATGGTATACAAAGTATTCTGGAATTTTCTAGTTCGCGCGTTGCAATTGTTTCGGTTCGATTGAACAGTCAGACAGTGAGCTCGCCGCCAAAGCATAGATCCGTTCAACGTGATTTCAATGTGATCGATCTCGTGTGGCGAAAAATTCTTTCGTTCATTTACAACGAAATTCATTGAGATTTTCATTGATCATTTTCATTGAAATCATTGAAATCATTCAACGAAATTCTTATCTGGAAAATAGAAAATATTTTTATCGGAGAGAAAGTGTGGAAATTATTACATCAAAAATCCATCGTTCTTTTAAAAAATTAAAGAGAGGAGCCAGTAAATTTATACATTACGAATATTAACTAGCGCAACTTTTAATTATCCTAATTTCCAATCTATTCTTCAACGACGAGCAAGAACTCAAGATTCGTCGCAATTCCAGCGACCATCGAAGAAATTTATTTTGTTTGAAATTTTGTCGTTTGAAAAATTGAAAATTCTTCTCGTCGTGCGTATCTCGTGCACGTCGATATTCAGCAATTCAGCGATCCCGGCGACCGAGGAAGGAAATTCGATACTCGTCCTCGATTAAGTATCAAAGTGTCAGAAAATCGAAAGATCGGCGAGAACTTGAAACAATCCTACGCTTCCTCCTCGATCCTCTCTTCGTTCTCGCGGGCGTTTATCTCCTGCACGTAACCCTCGGTGAACTCTTTCACGATATCGGCGATCGGCATCACGGGCAACGGAGGATGAGGTCCGGGGTGAGTCTTCCTGTGACATATCAGGCCAGGCTTCTGCGTGAACGCCTTGCCGCAAATGTCGCAGACGAACGGCCTCTTGCCCGTGTGGATGAGCAAATGTTGACGCAGCTGGGACCTCCTGGCGAACGGTTTGTTGCAGATCAGGCAGGAATGTGGCTTGCAGCCCGTGTGCACCGCCATGTGCCTCTTGAACGAATCCTTCTTCGTGAACGTTTTGCCGCACTCGGCGCACACGATCTTCTCCCGTTTCTCGTGCTGCGTCAGCAGATGCTGGTCGAGATTCTCCTGCGTGACCATGCGTCGTTTGCATATGTGACACTCGTACTTCGGCTTGTAATGCGCCCATTTCTGGTGCACGTAAAGGGAGCCGCTGTTCTGGCACAGTTTGCCGCACACGTCGCAGTTGATCGGCTTCTCCTTGTGATGGAACCGCACGTGATTCGTCAGATCGCCCTTCACCTTGAACTTCTTCGGGCAGAACTTGCACTGGTGCTCGTACCGATCGGTGTGCTTTCGAATGAAGTGCGACTGCAACGAGTGTTTCGACCTGCACACGAAGCCGCAAGCGGCGCAAGGGAACAGCATGTTGTTCGGCCGTTTTCTCGACCAGGTTTCGTGCTTCCTCTCCAAGTGAGCCGCGAACAGGCTCTTCTTCAGCGTCCTGTAATCGCACACCGCGCATATGTACGCGCCGTCCTCCTGTATGCACACCTTCTTCTTGTGCGTCCATGCCACGTGCTTCCTGAACGAAATCGCCGAGCTGAACATCTCCGAACAGACCTTGCATTTCAACGCACCGCCGGCGTTCCTCGAGCCGCTCTTCCTGCCGCGCTTCGTCGCCGTGACGTGATTATTCGCCGACTCTAGAATCTCCTCCTCCA